ATATTATCATACCGTATGTGTTTATCTCCCAGCAAAGTGCATTGTGAGAGAACACTTCATTTCCCCTCTGCTCTCATAGTCTTCTTTACATTAAACTCAGACACTTAAAAATGTTATCTTATAATATCATAAAATTCTGGGGCTAGATCCCAGAGATCTTCCAGTCTTAACATTTTTTTTACATAAGGTAGAGTGATTTTATATTTATTATTTCTTAACTGACATACATTTTCCCCTAAGTTTCTTCTTCATACATAAAATTCATTTTCTCGCCTATGTTCAACTCTACATTGTAAATATTCTTCTCATAGCTTCTGCATATTCCTCATTTACTTACAAATCTGTTTCCCCAAATCTGCTTGCATCATCTTCTGTTCCTTCACTCATCTCTTATCACCTCAGGCTATCTACCTCCTATTTCCAAATTCTTATATCCTAGTATCTGTAAAGGACCAGCATTATTTTCTATTGAATTTTTTTAGCATACAGAACAGTGCCTGATCTGTATATGTTAAATTGTTGCCCAATGAATTAGTTTTATTTCTGCTTATGGATGAGTCAGTGGGAAAGATGGGTTGAAAAAATTGCTAATGTGATAGTTTTATTTCACTTATCTCTAGTCAGAGAATCGATATCCTGGAAAGTTGAACTGAGTACCGTGAGTGTCTTAGCTCTTAATGGAATTTGCATCTCTTCCTTGAATGGTTCTAAAAAGTTAAGTGAGGTCTAGTAATCTCCCGGTTACTCTTTTCTCCTTTTCTGCATTGTCTTCCTTGTGGCTGGGCCTGCTTTGTTATTATTACCATGGCAGCAGAAATTTTCATTTAACTGACAAGCTTTGAAATTGTATTCAGAAGCTGGAAAGATGTTGGTTTAAAATAGATTAAAGTCTGTCCTTAATTCTATAGAGGACTTTGTGTATTTTAGAGGGCTTAAAATCAGTTAGAAAGACAGCTTCTTTCCATTTTTGTCTGTTGGCATTTTAAAGTTGTCATTTTAAATTTTTTCCTGAAATTTTATCTGAATTTTTTTACCCTTCAAATCCTTGCCTCATTTGAGTTTGTGAGATACCAACAAGGTTTCGTTAAAAATCAGCCATTTTAATTCTCACTTTAAACAAACAGAAGTTTGCTCCAAATGAAAAGCTTCTGAATCTCAAGGGTATAACGTATGTATACATTTTATTGCCTTCTAGATAATATGCTCAAATTGCCTGGGCTGGCTATCCTTTGAAATCTGTAAGCATGGAATTATGCCTGTTGATCTTCTTGCTGCAATGAGAAATAAATTAATGCATGAACCTTGGTTCATGCACTACAAAAAGAATTTGCTTGAAATCAGTTGCTCCTCTGTAAAATTCTTCCCCCAAAGACTTGTTGAATTGCTCTTTCTCTCCATGACCTATTTTCATATTCAGACTCCAATTTGCTTCTCTCTCTTAGATGTAAGAAATCTTTCTGTACTTCATTCGAGCTCTTTCTGGTGACAGGACAATTTTCCTAAAGCAGCATTTCTTTCTAAACTTTACCTTTGTTTCTCCTTTGCATGAAGAATTATAATTAAAGTTTCTGAATAACAATATGCAATAACAACTTTTCTCATTTAATACAGCATACTAAAGTATATAACATACTAAACTGTCCTATTTAACATAAAAAATAGTAAAATATTTGGAACTCTAAGTTGTCAAACCACACCATAGTCTGCTTATGAATTAGCATACGATTTCTCCCTTATTTCTCTCTGCACTGTAATCAAATTACTTGGCCACTCTGCCTATAATATATGTTATATTTTCTCACCTAGAAACTCTAGTATATGAAATACCATATAGTATGGGCATTTATTCAGAGTCTCCCTGCCTGCCTCAGTATTTCAAGTTTCCCACAACCCTTAGGTCATTTTTTAAAATTTGACTTGAAAACCCCAGTATTACTCTTGGGGCATCGTGTTCCTCTTACTTTAGTGTACTGAAGTAACTTTTTAAATCTAAGTGGCTAAAATTTTAGGTTTCTTTTGTCATACTAAAAATTATTCTTTTTTTTTAAAAAAACGGGCTGGAGCGATAGCACAGCGGGTAGGGCGTTCGCCTTACATGCGGCCAACATGGCCGACCCGAGTTCGACTCCTCCGCCCCTCTCGGAGAGCCCGGCAAGCTGCCGAGAGTATTCGATATGCCAGACACAGTAACAACAAAGTCTCCAATGGAGACGTTACTGGGCCCGCTCGAGCAAATCGACGATCAACGGGAGGGCCTTTACTTTACTTTTAAAAAAACACTGAAAGCAGCTAATATTTTTAAAATTTTTCCTTATATTCAATTAAAAATAAAACTTTGTTTGAAGAGAGACTTAGACAATAGAACTCTCTAATGGAGATGATCTGTGTTCCTTGTCAGTTAAATAAGCCACAATCATTTCTTTTTCATTCCAGGGTCATTCACATTTTTGTATATTTTTGGATGTTAGGTGATGTCATAGTTGTTGGTGGTTATTACAAAAACTAGTTAATTATTTGGCATTTAGTACAGAACCTGATGTGCAGTGAGACTGCTACAAATATTATTATTATTTTTTGGTTGGCTTTTGTGTTCTCTTCAATCTGAGGGTTCAAGTGTATTTTCAAAAATGCCCCAAATGCCCTTAAATATGTTAGAATATATTTATTAGATAAAATTGAGTCAGTGACATCCTAAAGTCTACTATAGCAAATGCCCTTAAAAACTCAGTAACAAATACCCCTAAAAATATGTTAGAATACATTAATTAGATGAGAATGAGCCAGTGATATCCTAAAGTCTACTTTATCAACTGGCCTAGAATGCACATATTTGAAATATCTTGATTTTTAGTTTTATGGGGGGCTGGTATTTAAAAAAAATTTTTGGATCATACCCGGCAATGCGTAGGGGTTACTCCTGGCCCTGAACTCAGGAATTACTTCTGGTGGTGCTCAGGGGACCTTATGGGATGCTGGGAATTGTACCGAGGTTGGCCTTGAGCAAAGTAAATGCCCTTCTTGCTGTGCTACTGTTCCAGTCCCAGGGCTGGTAGTATTTGGGGGATCTTCCTACCTCAGTGCTCAGGTAACACTCCTGGCAGTGGTTGGGGGACCATAGAGTGACAGGGGTCAAATCCAGGGCCTCCTGCATGCAAAGCATATGACCAGCCGATTCGGGTTTTACATCCTGCCCCAAAGCCTTTTTTTAAACCAAAAAATAAAAAATAAAATTGGCCACTGGCATTTGAATCCTGACTCTCCTGCATGTAAGGCACATGTTCTGTCAAGATCCACCTCCCCTGCCTTGTCCCCTCATTTATAATTTCATTTTTTGTATTTGATTTTACTGTTTTGGGGAGGGCTTTCCCTGATGTCCTGGAATACACTGGGCAGTGCACTAGTCTTTGGAATCCCACTTGAAATCCTGTTCGTGCCAGACCTTTGCTCCAGCCCCTGGAACCTGCCCTGAGATGACCTTTATAAACAGGTAAAGGAACCGAAAGTAAAACATCTTACAATTAACAAATTTAAAGCACATCTGTGAAAATCTCCAGAATTAATTCAACGAAGTACTCAGAGAGTAAGAACCGCAGGTTCAACATTATACCATGTCTTAATTCCCGAAGTTAGAAATATTCCACAAAAATTGTTTAAAAGTCCATTTATACATTCTGAAAAGTTCGGCAGCTGCCGGGTTGGATGATTTTTAAATCCATGTTTATGTTTGTTTGTTTTGGGGTCATGCCTAGTGATTTGTAGTCCTTAAGGCCTACTCCTGGCTCTGTGCTCAGGGATCACTCCTGAAACTGCTCAGGGATCTATGAGATGCCAGGGATAGAACCTGGGCTGGCTGTGTGCAAGGCCAGCTGTACTATCTCTTCATTCCTTTCGCTTAATTCTATGTTTTAAAAATACAAAGCTTTACTCTAAATGAAAAGTCCTTAGAGTAAAAACTACTTTCTAAGTTTCCATAGAAACATTGGAGCCATACCATCAGAACTCAAGGGGTTACTGTGCTCTGTGTGTGTGTGTATTGTGTATGTGTGTGTCTGTGGGTGTGGGTGTGTGTGTGTACATGGGAGACATGTCCCCCCCTTGTACTATTTCTGTGACCTCTCCACAGATTTCAAAGGAACATGCCTTACCAAGGCAGGCTTTTCATCTTGTACTTATTAAAATTTTGGAAGTAAAAATGAAATCATAAAATAAAGTAAGTTTAGAACCGGGCACTTAGAAGCCAAAAATCATCTTGAAAAATATTTTTCTTGAATTTCTTTCCTTTGCGAGGTTCTTCCCCATACTCAAACAGTCGCAATAATTGGCCTTCAAATGATAACTGACACTTCCTAAACAAAATAGTTGGTTTTATTATTTGTTTGGGTCCCATGACGTTTTCCAGATTTCTGTTTTCGGATACTCCCTTGCAGAAGCGAGTTCCCGGGAGAACTAACCCTGATTATTTTTATTTATTTTATTTTATTTTATTTTGCTTTTTGGGTCACTCCTGGCTCTGCACTCAGGAATCACCCCTGGCGGTGCTCAGGGGACCATATGAGATGCTGTGAATTGAACCTGGGTTGGCCTCGTGCAAGGCAAACACCCTACCCGCTGTGCTATAGCTCCAGCCCCACCGTGATTATTTGTAATCTGCAAAACAGATTAGGAGTGCAGATGCATTCAAACTTGGTCTACAAAACTGCTGGAAGTGGGGAGTGGGGCTACGATTTATTTTTTATTTTTATTATTTTTTTAAATTTTGGATTGGATTCTGCACGTCTGCGGAGGCTCCACGCTTCCCCGAAGCGCATCAGTCCATCGGATCCCAGTAAGGGTCAGAACCGGGGGAGGAACTGGTGCCCCCCAGTCCTGGCAGGACCAAAACCGGGGGCGGGGCTTGCAGGACTCTCAGCCGATTGGCCGGAAGGCAGGAAGTGGGCGGAGCCTCCCGCCTCCCGCCCGCGTGCCGCGTCGCTAGGGACGCTTCGGCCCCGGCAACCGCGATGGAGAGGGACGAGGGGCTGGCCACTATTGACAATATCGTCACTCAGTTCAGCACCTATGAGGACTTTTTGGACTCGCAGATCACCACCGTGGACTTGTACTACCTGGAGGTGAGGAGCGCGGTGCAGCCTGCGTCCCCGGGGCCCGGCCCAGCAGCGACCCGCTCGGTGACCCGCCCCCCAGGTGGCCGCTCCCGGGTCCTCCGCAGGGTGGACACTCGCGTGCAAGCGGCTGCGCGCGGGGTCGCCTGTCACCCTTGCCGGTGCCCCGCTTTTGTCCGACCCTCAAGTCTCTTCTGATGGGACGTTTCCCGGCGGCTTCCATGCACATCTGACTCCTGCACCTCTAGAAGTAATTTTGAAAATGAGTGATGTTGCCCAGCTAAAAGCCTGGAATCATGAGAAGAGGTTCCATGCATTTTTTCCCCTCTAAAGGCAGGGTTTTTTCATGTTGTTAATCTGGAACTAAATGCATTGTTGTTGATTGGAAGAAATCCGTCTTTTGTGTGTTATCAATTGGAAATTTGAAGGCTTAAAAATGGAAGATGGTGGCTATGTTTAGAGGGTAGAAAGATAAAGTAGTTTAATTTGAAAGTTGGCACTATTCTTATTGGACTTTCCTAAAAAAATAAAATGAAAGATTTAGTTGAATAAAGACATTAAGGCAAGCATTTAAACTTTGGGATTAAATAACGAAAATTTTAAGTGCCATTAGCTCTGGGGTCATATATTATCAAATATGTTCTGTGTATGTGAGTGAATTGCCCACTTAGGTAGCACAGGAACCAGAGGACTCATCAGAATTGTTGCAATGGCATGATCCATGTTCATATGTGTGGCATGTTCATATGTGAAGCTTACTTCAGGTTTCATGGACTATGCTATGCAACATGGTTTTTTTTTTTTTTTTTTGGCATGATAGTAATCATTTTGAATGGACCACATTTTAAATTATTTAGTTGGAAGTGTCTAGTGTCATGAAATGTGTATTCTGTCTCTGTACTAATTTATGTTGTTTTTTTTTTTAATGTTTGGAGCCACCCCACGGTGCTCAGGGCTTATTCCTGGCCTTTGTGCCCAGGGATCACTCTTAGTGGTGCTAAGGGACTGTGATTCCAGGGATCAAACCAGTGTTGGCCACAAGCAAGGAAGGCACCTGAAGTACTGTACTGCCTCTCACCGGTCATATATAAGTATTACTGTATAGATAAGAGGGTTAATTTAGCTTTTGACACATAAAGTTTCATGAGAATGAAAGGCTATGTAAGTAATGAGTTAGCATTAAAAATCAGGCAAAAAATACAGCAAGCAAAAATATCTCTAGGGTGAACTAGTTTGGAATGCTTATGGAAGGCCAGCATGGTTGGTGTGCGAGGAACAAAGGGGAAATGGAGCCAATGTGGTCTGGGAGGTGGGTCGGATTGAGATTCTGTGTAATTCTGTATAATGTATAATCCTTACACATGACTATAAGGGGTTTGTATTTTATTTAAATTTTTATTTATTTATTTTTGTTTTTTGGACCATACCTGGTGATGCTCAGGGGTTGCTCCTAGCTTTGTGCTCAGGAATTAATTCTGCTGGTGCTCAAGGGACATTGTGGAATGCCTGGGATCGAACCTGGATCGGCCACCACGTTCCAGGCAAACGCCCTACCTGTTGTACTATCTCTCCGGCCCTGGGACTTGTATTTTAATTGCAAATTCCACTTCAGCAGTAGAGTAAGTTCATATTGCACTAGCATTGGATAGAACAACTATACATGGTATACAGAATGTGAGGAAAAGCCAAATATACAACTACCTGAAATCATAGGGTATACAAAAATGCAGGCATGTTTTGGAAACAAGCCAAGATTTACAAGAAAATGAATAGAGCAGTAATACCATTTTAAAGGTTCTGGTCTGAGGGCAGGGCACATTTAGCAAGGAAAGTGGGTAAACCTTTAATAGAAAAATTCCCATTTCTGTGGGCTTTTAAAAATGAGAAGAAGGTTTGAGATGAGAGCAACAGATGTTTAAGGTGACAAAAAAGCAATTAAAGAGCAAGGAAGCAAAGGTAGGGGAAGGTGGTAATAAAAATTGTATATAACTATGCCTGAGTTTCTTACCTTTCCTTGAATGACACATGTGATCAGAGTGAAAGCATTCCTATTAAGGATAAAGAGCTAAGAGCAGAAATTAAAGCAGCTAAGAGACACACATTAAAACTTGAACATAAACTGAAAACACACTTTTTTGGAGGGCTACAATAGAAGCCAGAGACTCAAAATAGGATATATGAGTTATTTGGGCTACCATAAAATATTATTCAGCAAAAGACTTAGGACAACATGACCAACTCTTAGAAGAGGAGAAAATCAAGAAAGACAAATCCTGGTTTAAGCCAAATATCGCTCATCTTTTAGTACTGATGCTAAGTGGGGCATCCATAGCCTAGTCTATCAGTAAACCAAACACCTTTCCTTAGACTTGTGTGAAGGGAATGGTTTTATTTTAGTCTAAAGAGCAATGCGGTAGGAACTGTGCTTAAATCTACCAACCTATCCCTTTGTTTCACAGAACAGCTTCGCAAATAGGAGTTTAGTCTTCTAATTGAGAAACAAATTAGAAACAAGAGGAGATTCAGGACAAACAGAATGATTTTCTTTAGATATCAGGTCACTGGGCTTCTTAGTGATTAAGTGCATTTGCTCCTGAAACAGAGCTTGTAAGAGTATTTAGACTCTTCTGGCTGGATTTGTTTGCTGACAGGGGAAATGGGTGCCCAGGAGCAAGAATTGCACTGTGAAAACCAGGTCCATGGTGTTGCTAGGCCTGGTGGTGCCGTGGGGGCCCACCTGGCAATGCTGGGGGAACAGCTGGTCCTGGGAATGTAACCAAGGTAGCTGCAGTTATTTCTCTGACCCTTCTTCTGGCTGTATGCAACTTAAAGACAAATAGGAATACGGGGGTCAGGTTGTGTGAGTTTTTGTTTGTTGTGGCTCTCTACAAAACTTCTCTAACGCACGTATTTTTCTACTCCCGCAAAGCGTTGCCTGTGAGACAATGAGAAAGTTGTGACTTTTGTATAACCCCAATTTTCCTTTCTATTTTGTTTTGTTTTTGTTTGGGGGCCACACCTGTTGGTACTCAGGTTTTACTCCAGGTTCTGTGCTCAGAGATCTCTTCTGGCAGGGATTGAGGGACCGTAGATTAGGCCAGAGATTTCAGCCTGGGTCTGCTGTATGCACGACAAGAACCTTCACCACTTTGCTATCTCTCCAGCCCCTAATCAACCTTTTTTTAAATTATTAATTTGATTGAATCACCGTGAGATAATTACAAGCTTCCATGTTTGGCTTACAATCACACAATGATCAAACACCCATCCCTCCACCAGTGCACATTCCCCACCACCAATATCCCTGGTATACCCCCCTTTCCCACCCTACCCCTGCCTCCATGGCAGATATGATTCCCCATAATCTCTCTCTACTTTTGGGCATTATGGTTTGCAATACATACCCTGAGAGATTATCATGTTTGGTCCTTGATCTACTTTCTGCACACATCTCCCACCCCCACCGATTCCTCCAGCCATCTTTTTCTTAGTGATCCCTTCTCTATTCCAGCTGCCTTCTCCCCTTTGCTCATGAGGCAGGCTTCCAGCTATGGAGCAATCTATCTGTCCCGTGTGTCTGCTGTCCTTAGGTGTCAGCCTCATGTTATGTTGTTTTATACTCCACAAATGAGTGCAGTCCTTCTCTGTCTGTCCCTTTCTTTCTGACTCATTTCACTTAGCATGATACTCTCCATGTCTATCCATTTATAAGCAAAGTTCATGACTTCATCTCTCCTGACGGCTGCATAGTATTCCATTGTGTAGATGTACCAAAGTTTCTTTAACCAGTCATCTATTCTAGGGCACTTTAGTTGTTTCCAGATTTTGGCTGTTGTGAAATTGAGCTTCCATATGACCCCGCAAAACCACTTCTGGTAATATGTCCCGAGGATGCAAAAAAGCACAGTAGAAATGACATCTGTACCTATATGTTCATTGCAGTCCTGTTCACAATAGCCAAAATTTGGAAACAACCCAAGTGCTTTAGAACAGATGACTGGTTAAAGAAACTTTGGTACATCTTCCTAAGCGACCTTTTCAATGTTAGGTAACTGTGTCCCTTTAGGATCATGGTTTCCCATTTAAAAAAAACCCCAATTTGAAACTCTCTTTTGGTTTTTGTTTGTTTATTGTTGTGCCATACTAGGCGATCCTTAGGGCTGACTCCTGGTTCAACTCAGGGGACCATCTGGGGTACCAGGGGATCTCCCCCATGATTGGCTGTAAAGGACAGGTGCCCTTCCTGCTGTACTCTCCAGCCTCGATTTGAAACTCTTATTTCAGCATTTGAAAAATGAAGGATTGGGCTAGTTAAAGTCAGAGTCTTTATGTCTGCCAAATTTGGTGAGTTCTCTATAAATTGAATCTATCCATCGTGCCAAATCACATGGGCTTCCACTAAACAAAGCTGGTCTAACTTCTGCCATTGTTGAATGGCACCTTGTCAGTAACCAAGTCCAAAACCTTTGAAAAAGCATAATTTCTCAGGGTAACCTACCTACGACTTGGCAGCAAATTGGTCTAACTGGTGGCCGGCCTCCTTCTCTTTCCCTTCAGCGGATCAGTTTGATAGAAATAGACAGATAGAAATTTTTCATTTCTGCTCATATTCATGGGCTGGAGCAATAGTACAGCGGGTAGGGAGTTTGCCTTGCTTGCGGCCGACCCAGATGACCCGGGTTCGATTCCTCCACCCCTCTCGGAGAGCCTGGCAAGCTACCAAGAGTATCCTGCCCGCATGGAAAAACCTGGCAAGCTACCTGTGACGTATTCGATATTCCAAACACAGTAACAACAAGTCTCACAATGGAGACGTTACTTGGCCCACTTGAGCAAATCGATGAACAATGGGAGGACAGTGCTACAGTGCTCATAGTTACAAGACAGCACCACAATTCAAAGCTTTTTACATTTTCTTTCAGTTTGTGACTTACTTGACATATGAAACTACCTAAGTTTAAGGTATAGGACATAATGGCTTGGCTTACCAATATTGTAAATGATTGTAA